AAGAATGTGTAACAAAAGAAATAACGACTCGATGAAACAATTGCAGTACATTGATAATTAATTAAAGTACGTTGCACCTACAATAGCGGAACAAGCACAAAATACTATAAGACTTGCACGAAAGTTATGACAGGATTAATATGCGAAGTTTCGTGCGAAAGTGTGGACGATTATCAGGGCAATGCAAATGGAAGCGTGCAGATAGCTGCTGGCAGACAAGATGTTAATTGAAAAGGAAACGAGGCACGCGAACGGCACGATCAATTTTCGAATCTGATCTACCTTTTCTGGCACGCTAACTTTCGCGACGATTTGTTGAAGATAACCCTTTCGCCGTGTTCGAATTTTTCTTACGTCTATCAAATAGTAGTTTTCTTTTTTCTACGTGTTCTGAGATCAGCTGCCTCGGTCGAATTTCGGGTTCATACAAATATTTGCAGTCTCCGATTGGAAAAGTGTTGACGTTCGAAGGGTTGATAAAAACGAAAGCCTTTAGATATTGTTCTTCGATACGATTGTTTTTCAAATTATTTTCAGTCTTCCATTAATTATGGTTCTGACACGGCCGATAAAGGCAATGCCGATAAAATCTTCAGGAGCGTTTAATTTTATTTTTAATACGACTCCGTTTGAGATAACGCGACAACGCTGTTGGTGGAAAATTCAGAGGGGAAACGAATACCGAATGTTTATCGATAACGCAATCGCCAGGGGCGTTCTTGGTTTCAGCGTCGTTTATCGATATTCACAATGAGGCGGTGAGCGAGCCTTTGCAATCTCGTCTTGTTATCGCGTCTGTCCAAAGGAAAATCAATTCATCAGACGTCGTTCTGTACCTCAACTTTGCGAATCGTGTCAGAGAGACAGTTTAACGGCCACTTTTTTAGACCAAAATGTTTTTTTTACTTTTACGAAATAATTGTTTAACTTTTGATGTGTCTGCTGAAGCAATACTATCGTGCTACTTATTATTGCATCTAAGAGAATACTATTTTCTTATCTGATTATTACGTACGTCTCGAGATTGGAGCGAAGATTTTCTTTTTACTCTGTTGGACTATTCCATTTAAACATCTTTTGTTTTTACTAGATTTCTCGACCCGATTTATTGGCCATTGTGCCGTTTATCGCGAGCGTATACGGAGCAACATAACCCTCGGAATATCTGAGATTTCATAACCTCTTTACTACGAATCGGTGAATTTTTCTGTGTGTTCGAAGCCTTTCGAAAGAATCCTCTTATCGACCAAGGCGAACGAAGAAGAGAAAAGAGAAATAAATCTTGAACGTTCCAACATCGACGCTGGTCCTCGACGTTTTCTCGTACCGAAGAATTTTGTGCATTTTGCAAACTTCTTAAATTTCCATCTCCTCGTCGAATCCGTCAACTTCGCTGACGTTGACTAACGAGCTTCCATTTGTCCGCGAAGTTCGCAGGCAACCGAAACTATCGCGACTGAGTTCTGTTCCGAATTGTCCTTTATTTTCATTCGCCATCCATCTTGCACCGGAGGAATACCGCAGGACAACGGGAGAAATAGAATAATGTATGCTAATGCACCTCCTTTGAATATCTACCACATACATTTTATTCGTACTCCATTTTTCTTCTCAATTTTTACCCCAATCGTTTGCTTCGATAACCATCGAAGTTTGTCGATATTTTCAAAAACTCCACCGTTCGGGGTTAGAGAATAATTTTCTATCTAAAGATTACGTAACAGCAGAAGTTTAAATTCTCTATATCCGCGTATTCCCGTATTCTCGCACGGTAAATAAATCTTCCCAGTATATTTCAGCAGGGTAATCCAAAGCGCGTAGTTGCGCGGCAACTATGCAGCGTCCTTAAGTTATTTTGCATTCGGAATAGCAAAGTGCCGCACGTTCTTACGAAACGTCCGAAGTAGCAGAGGAGGCGAACGAGGTACCCGTTCCAGACAGCGAGCTTAGCTTTCTACGGAATTAATTCGCGAGAAGCGAAGGGAAAACAGGGGATGCAAAGAGGGAACAAAGGGTAGAAAGGTTCGCTCGCGGAGAAAGAAATCGTCGTTCCGAAATGAACCGGGTTCATTTGGTTCGAGCCGGGTCTCTCACAGAAACGTAATATCCACGGATGACCTCACGGGAGATTCGCTTGATACCTGGAAGAGGGATACCGGGAGGAAAGAGGGACAGATATATTCGTGGTCGGCGCTTTGAAGGTTTGCGAGTCTATTACGATCAAGAACCGCCGAGCGGAAGGCAAACTAGCTAAGTTTCCGCTCGTATCTCGTTGTTCGCGCACGAGAACGACGCGACTGCTTGCTGCACGTGGCCTTTCCACTGCCACAAAATGGATTCCTTTAACCAAATATCGCGTCCTTCGTTATTAGTCGCTTCCGTAGGAACATCGATTTCTTGCCCTGCACTTTCGGCTACTGTCGCATTGTTTATTCGATACTTTTCTACCGATGACGACAGTATTTTCGGACCTCTGTTCTTGCTCCAGTATTAGAAATTTAGAGTTTATTATAGACGCGAAGGGCGAGACTACGCGCGTTTTGTCAAAGTGTTTTCCTCGTTGGAAAAGAAAGTCTTACGAGGCTAACGGATAATGCATAGTCGTCAAGAGCGATGGTGACGTTGGTCTTGTAACAACAGCCACATCTAAGGACACGTCATCAACTTGTACACAACTTTAGATAAAAGATAAGCGTTGCTAGGTGATACGATTCAAACACGTACCTATGCCATAACTAATAGCTGATACAGAAAGTATCGATCAAATAAATGGTAATGTTAGAGACCCGGTGATTTACGGTGATTACTCGATAGCGGTGTAGGTAATTCTTTTTTTAAACGTCGATCGTCGCATTGTCTAAACAGTGGCTCTAGCAGCCACGATCCGATCGGCAAACGGATTCTGGCTTCGCTAACAAGATCGAACAGCATTCAACCCGTGTACATTCCGAATTTTGGATTCTCTTTGGTGGTACCGCAAATGTTTGTGGAATATTCAGTTCCATTTAGATTTCAAATAGAATGTAGAAAATTGGAGGTAGGTCGTAGCAGTTATACTGGTTGCAATTTAAAATCCGTTTCCCGGGCCGAAAAACCGGAGGTAGGAAACTGGATCTACCCAAGCTCGGTTTCCGTTATTCAACGCTTGCACAAAGTGAGCCTTTCATCCGGCGGAAAATTAATATTTCCCTTGCTCGTTAAAGAGGGATAGGTGGCGGGGAGCCATAGACGGGAGAATAAAACGAAACGAGAAGGTGGACGGGGGAAAAAATGAAATTTCGTTATTCGAGATAGCTGCGGTGGCAGATTCGTCCGGGAAAATGGCGAGCATCGCGACGAGATTAATCGTTCTCGAACCGGCTGAAATCGAGCGAGCAAGATAACGTCGAAAGCGAATCGAACCGTTGTTCGGCCAAATAAATATTCATCGTTGGCACGAAAGGGTTTTGCAATCGGGCTGATCCGATTGCTCGAGCACGCCTCCGCTTCACAAAGGGGACTACTCGTTTAACTTCTGACACGAACGATCGATAATTATTAACGGGAACAACGGCCGAGTTACTTTGCCGATCCCGCTCTGTCGTTCGAGGAAATTTCGCTTAATGGAGTTTTCGAGCTTGCTTCTCGAAAGAACCTTTTACGCCTCTCGATTCTTCCTCCCGGACAATTTATGTCTTTACCCTTTACTCGTTTATGCCTCTTCGCCACTTTATGTCTTATGTACACCGTGCAAAATTAACGCGTAACTGGCATATCTCTTGTATACATAAATAAAACGCTAACGTGGAATACCTGCGAGGAGCAAAAGTATCGCGGCATAAAAATTCTATTAACATAAATAAATTGTCGCCGCTTTAGCAAAGACTGTAACACCACGTGCGATCGTTCATGATTTACGACTTCGGCGGTGCTCGTTAACTGCGATGTCATATATGTTTATTAATCATAATGTCATACCTTTCGTCATTCGTGCGGCCCGACGTAAATATTGATGTTAAAAATTATTTATGACGCGCACGGAAAACATCGTGCGGTGAATGTATTTAAATACGTTACGAGTAATTCCGGATAGAAATATCTCGAAGAGAGAAAAAACGTATTTAACCGAAGATCGTTTTATTTGTCGAAACGATAAATATTTAGAGAAGGAACTTCTTCTCCCGAGAAGAATTATTCCACGAGTGGAATTCGATTCAACGTTTCGTTGACTCTACCGCGAACAATAACGCGCTTTCTAGTCGGAGAAAAATTTATTCGAACAATAAGAGAGAGAGCCCGATTTTCCTCGGCGAGGAAAAACATACGCCTCTCGTTCAGCGACTGTTGCTGCGGCGTCGCGACGCTCGACGCGTCGTCCTGCAAAGCGAAAACCGTTGTACTCGCGAGCTTCGCTGAATTTCAAGTAGATGGATCGGAATGGATGCTAACAGAACTTCCATTCGAGTAACGATCGTATGTGCACTGTCGTGTGTGTTAATACTCGACTTTCGACAGACATCCTTCGACATTTTTCTCCATAACCTCTTTTTATCGGCAACTTGCAACGCGGAGGAAAGAAAGGAGGTGATTAGTGCCTTATTCGTTAATGAACCGATAGAAAATTGCAGAAAATTGCAGAAAATAGAGAATAAAGCGCTGTTTCGAGTCACGCTTGATTCTTTCGATTCTTGACTCCTTGACCTATCATTTTCTGGCCGCCATTCACAGCTGCAGAGGAAGTTAAAATGTCAGACATATTTTGCCTTCGGCGAGTCTTGGTTATACAGATTTTAGACCGAATGCAAAGTTGCAGTGAAAATACGAGTGTAATTTCAACGTGACGATATTGCAGGGCGAGGGGTTAACTTTTCATACAGAAATCTTTCCAAGTTCGACTTGAAAAGAAGAGAAATAATTCCTGATTATTACTAGAATACATATGTACAAATACGTATATATAAATTTACTTATCTTAGCCTAAGTAAAATTAATATAACTAACCAGCGTGTTTTTATTTTCAGATAATCGTCACCGAGCGACAGATCGAAGGTAAGAATAAAAATTGGATGACAGGGTGGACGTTATAAAGCAAGGGATTAATAATCTTCCGTCCTTGTCGTACGCATATGTTACGCTTATGATGCAATGCAAAGGGTAGCTCGTATATTTGTGTACAAGCACGGATAGCGTGTTATCCGACGGTCGATCCGATTATCGATTCCCAATCGCCGTTTCGAACACGATCAATCGACAATCGCGTTATTTTCGCATAGCTCGTTCACCGTTTACATTGTGTGCACGAGAGCTTGCATAACGTACCGTATCGTTTACAACGCGTCACTGGCTCGATTGTCCAGCTGAACGTTCGAGCGTGGGTCAATCGCGACTTCGACTTACGAAATGCGTATCACTTAATCGAGCTTCATTCCGAATGGGTTAATCGATTGGGGAAATCGAGGATTAGAATATTATAGTATCAATGTATTTACTGTACATTTATTATTTTATTTTTATTAAGAGCAGAGTGGACTTCAATGAAAAAGTAAAATGTTTTTATTAACGATGAAATGGAACCGTTATGCAGTTGTATTCGTTTCAAAATAACGAAGAATATCGTGAATTACAGCCGACAATATTAATGCAATATTAAATCTTGAGAGAAATTCTGACAGTAAATAAAATATTGAAATACGAAAAGAGGAAATACTGAAAAAAACAGTAACTGAATTATCGATGAAAATGTTGATTGTATCGGAAGCTTATTGTTTTACGTTTCGATTAATTTCTGTCTAGAATTTCTCGCGCAGTGAGCACTCGAAACGTTCCATGAAGAAGCTTTGATGAAGAAGTTAAGAAGAAGAAAAATAGTAAAAAGGGGCGCGGAGGAGAAAAAGCGAAACTCGAGAGAGAGTTATATTGCAGCTAAAGTATTCCGAGGACGAAAATAAAGCAAAATTCCTCGGCAACGATGGAACAAAGACTATTGAATTATTAACAGAGGAACGGATGAAAGTTTACAAAGAAATTTCCCGCGGAAGTTGCCGCGTAACGCGAACCGTTGAAGTTGCGTCGCTCAACATCGATACTGAAATCGAATTGAAAAGTCGATTACGAAAGTTCGACGTAGGAAGAAAATTGTGATTATTAAATAAAAGACGTAAAGGGGCTAAATTTCTAATTAATTCGTTGTTAAATTTATTACTAAATGTACAATAAACTAGGAAACTAATTGCAGTTTCGTAATTAGAAAACAATTAGACGTATTTATGAAAGAGGTAAGCTGAAAGTAATAGCAGGCTAGGCGCTGTTTAATTAAGGATAGCCGGAATTTCTCGTCCAGAAATAAACCGGAAGTGAGCGTTCCCGAACGAATTAGAGATTCTTCGCTCGCAACGCGAAAGAAACTTATCCGCGATCTAATATTCTTCGGAACTCTATTAAGTTCACACCCGTTCCGTGCCAACTTCTCGGAACTTTTTTCTCGATACCAAAAGAGGAAACTTCTAGTTCGATACCTTTTTCCATCGCGTTTCTTCCGCTTCCCGCCCATCTATGGCTTTAGATATTTCACCTATATGCTATAATAATTTTATTTCCGAGCTGGTCGATCTGTAGGTTCTGTCATTTCATCTGCAGGGTTTCTGACATTTCTTTCATTTTATAATTTCTACTAATTTGCAATACCACCACTTACCAACGAATTACCAAATAATCTGCACCATCTCTACCAATTATTAAAGTCATAAAAAGAAAGCAGTAAAGCAAAAACTAAATTTCGGATTACAAGTATAATATTTGAGATAGAACTGCATCGTAGCAGAAAGTTTGTTTCACCAAACAAAGCTGGAAACTAGCGCGCGGTATTGTATACGATTTTTGAGAATTGGTCTGCAATTAATGTGGAGTAAAATCGGGGAGCAGTTAGCCAGAGGCTCTGTTACAGAACTCGGAGAGTTGCAGTTTCCTGTGGTCTATATCGCTCTTCCGGCGAGTTCGAAACAGTTCCAATTTCAAAATTAACCTCGTACAGTCATAAGAAACCCTCCTTCTAACGCTTTAATTACGGCCGGCTTATAAGGAAAACATCTAAGGGAGACAATTTAAAGTTGACCATTTCGTACGTGATCCGTTGGTCACAGTTCGTGGAAAAAATCAATTACAAATTCCCGGCCTGTCGCGATAAAGTTCTACGCTTGGGAATACGGTCGCATTTTAAAATGAATTATTCATCGGTCCTCGTAACTTCCAAGATCTTCTGTTCCATTCTCCTCGATTTCTCGTCTCGATCGATATACGAGACTCGAATCGTCTCCGGCGAAATTTAATAACGAATTCGAAACGTTTCACCCGTTTCGATCGGTTATATTTGCTCGTAAATTATAAAAGAACCTTTGGTGCACACCGGGGCTGAAATTGAATTAACAGGATACAACTAACTGCGTGAATCGATTGGCCGTTCGATGAATAGTTGAAACTGTTTCCAACTACCAACTATTATCCTCGATATCGCCGGTTCTTGGTCTATCTAGTGGCTTTTACTTGCATACCATTGATACGGTTTCGAATTTGTTTCCGATAGTCTATTCATTCCGCCTGCTCACTTTTGCGCATCACTCTCCTGGAGTTTCGTCTGCTTTTCACAAAACTTTTTGTTCGGAGGCGGTAGTTTACGATTGTTACGTTGCACTTCACATGGTTACAGCAGTTGAAGAATACTATACGTACATATAGTCAAAACTAACTCATAGTCGTACTGAAATATATTAGAAATAATCTGTTATAAACCGTCCTCCTCCCACTGTTAATCTTCTTCATTAATTCTAGATCACGTTCGCGAGTCGGTGTACTTTCCTCGCGACATATAGCCTCGATGATGTCGAACCGACGTTTAACCGGAATCTTAGACGTCCGCGTGGCAGTCGGGTAATTGGAGAATTAATTAACCATCCGAGCCAGAGGTGAAGAGCAAAGTTGCCCCTCTAGAGCGAACTTCGAATTCCAGGTAGCATTCAGGCCGTGCGATGAATTCGAGAGCGACACGGGTTACAGAGAATCGAAGCAGGATCGATACGCGTGACCGCATCGATACGAGTTGCCGATTCTAGACGGACAGGAAGCAAGCTTCCGGGAATAATGTAGATTAAGAGATGAACGAGAGATCTTGCGGCTCCCAAATTTCCCTTTTCGAGTTAACTCTTTATTTGTTGGAATAATTTACAGTGTTACGTCGATTCGTGAGCCTCTTGCCACGATCTGTCTTCTGCGGGTTTATCGCGATAAATTATTATAAATCAGATATATCGTAGGAAGCCGTTATAAATTACCGGTGCAATGATAAACGTTATTCGACCGGCAGGCAGCTGCGTGTGCCAATGGGTAAAGCTCTAATTAATATTTCGAGCACGCTTCGTATCCCCCGGGCACGGGAATTTCAACCTCGTGCGTAAACCAACTGCACAGCCTCCTCGTTATTCAATTCTTCTCGTCCATACTCCACATTTTTTACCCTGCTCGAACCTTCGTGTCTAACTTGTCAAACTTTTTACAAATCGGATTCTGATTCCGTCAGGTAGAAAAAGGTACCTTCGTAATTCTATCATTAGCCATTGTTTCGAGTGTCTATGGTAAACATGGAGTAGTATGCACTTCCAATCGAATCCTTTCGGTTAATAGCGAGGATCAAGTGGCTATCCAAAATCGAGCCAAGGAATTAGCCAAAGTTTGCAAGTGGTTGTCGAACGCTCTTCAAGTTACGGATGAAATTCGGGCAGCACGAAGGATTTAGGTTTGCCGAGTATTAATAAGCGAACTCGAGGATCCCCGATATCCTCTTCGAAATTCCGATCTCGAAAATCCCCCTCGAAATTCGACACGTTGCGTCATTAGTGGTTTCCTTCATACATTTTCCTCCTAAACGAAATTCTTCCACGATTCAACTAATAATCAGTCTACATCTACACAATTTATCAACGGATTTGCAGTAAACTGCAAGTTGTAAATTTCAGTAAGCTCGTAGTGAATTATTAAAACAAGTCAGTGGTGAAATAAATGTACGGAATCCGTGAGAGTATCGCGAGGAAGAGAGGAAGTTCGCGGAGTCGTTCAAGTTGGCCGAGTTTAAAGGGCGAAGAGGAGGTAAGGTTAAATCGGGATACGACACATTAGCGAGGAGAGCTCGTGAAATTAACGTGAAAACCACGTTACAACGGTTGGAGCTAGTGGGTGATTACGTTAAACACGGTGATTCGAGGACGGTGGGACGAGTTACTAAGCCGTGACACACTACGAATCAGGATTAAAGGGCGAAGTAGTCGGCTGAAGCTCGATTAATTGAAAGGTCAACAGGATCCTCCACGAAACTTTCTACCACGCATGGAATATAAAAGAGTCTCGAATAAGATTAGGTTTCTTGCGTGTTGTTGATACAAGGAACATTGGATACTTTTATAATTATTCAGCAGCTGTAATTGCTATATTTTCTAACTGACACACGGTAATTACCACGTTTCATATGGCTATAACGTATATTGTATTAATAACGCGGTAATAGCGCAATAACACAGTGTTAAAAAATCCCCATAATCGAGGTCCACGCTTCAAATAACGATATTACCATTTATATAATACCATCTACGGATTGGTTATATAACTAATTGGCTGGAACTATCAATTCCCGTGACGCGTGCACCGTTCCATAAATGAGCGATCGTAATAACCAAGAGATTCTCGATCAACGTCCATTATACTGCTTTACGTAATCATCGAACAATTCCATTTTCCAACGAACCTAAAATCGTCTTCTACCCACAATATCGATTACAATTTTCTATTTCATTTGCATTCTTTTCAAAACTTTCTTCTACAAATATTTTTCTATAAATTCCATTTCATGATCGTCCAATTTCAGTGGAAACTGGGTCGTCATTGACCCACCGATCAAGAGTCGATTTTGATGAAGATCCAAATTCTGGAGCCGGGTTTTCAGCTCGGATTTGTATGCGCGAAGCTCGCCGCGTGTTACGTTTAATACAGACAGATTATGATCGTAC